GAGAGAGAGAGAGAGAGAGAGAGAGAGAGCAAAGTTGTGATTCAGTGCCCTGGTTTCAGGTTGGCAGTCAACCGCAGAACTTTTGATAGCTAACAAATGACAAAAACAAGTTAAAATGAGTGTTGGCTACTGGATAGATTGCAATGACGGCAGATTGGGAGGTGTTTTGCTGGCATTCCACTTTATGCCAACAATGTCTAAAATAATTTTAAGGGAATATAGGGGGAAGGGAGGAATTAAGTTTATTTCAGTTAATAACATGCAAGTAGAGACTAATTTATAACGCACCTTTAAAAGGAAACCTTTGAAAAGCTGTACTGATAGATTAGAGCTACTGATCTTTTTTCACCATGTCTTCACATGGTTTCGAACGTGTTCCTTTGGCCAGCTGAATTTGGCTATTTCTGGTGCACGCTCGCATTAAACTCGCTCATGATTTTTTGTCTGATTGTAATTTTTTAACTTCAAAAAGTGGTTTGTTTGTTTTTTAATATCTTGCTGGTCAGGGCTCTTCTACAGGATGTAGATAACGGTTTGAGCGTTTGTTTGTTTCCTTTTCCCCAAGGCCATCTTTGTTCAGTGTGATTTACCAAAGTACAAGAAGGAATGATCAGGACAGGTGGAGGCATTCAGAAATCAATTTTAAGTGTGACTTGGGAATGTGTCCTCAGAATATCACGCCTCGCTGAATATTTTAGAAATGGGGAAAAGGCTTTGTAAATAAATTCTGGGTATATGCAACCATAGATTAGTACACACAGAGATGGAGGGAGAGAATTTCACATGTAGGTCCTGCAGTTTGACTGAAAGTTAAGAGCTATGGCCTACAAAATAATAATAAAGTGACAAGTAACCAGCAATGGACTATGAAGCCACCAGCTGCATGCAAAGGTCATTATAATCCACTGAAAACTACTTTTCAAAGCAAGGAGCAATTTTCTGTTATAAAACAAAGTCTGGTGGATACATCTTTTATTATACTATTAAAAGAACTAGCACAGGGAAAAAATGCCTGGCATGGCTGAGAATAAAGGCCCCAGCACAGCTACTGGTAGAGGAGATCTTGCTGGGCACGCCTCTCTCTAAAGGCCTGGCCTGGCACAGCTAACACAAGAGGCCCAGCCCATCTGGAATCTGAGCGGAGTCCTAGTATGGCTAAGGTTATAGCAAATGGGCAACTTGGCCTGGCAAAGAGAAGCAGCTTGTGGCTGCAGGAGAGGAAGAAATGGAAATGTTTCCATTATAATTAAATTTGCAAAGCAGCCAAGAAAGGGAAATAGTGTACTATGAACGGCACCATGAATATGAACTGACTGACCGTGTACCAGACGATATCAGACACAGTTTGTCAATAGTTTTCAGAATGTACTAACTGATTCGTCGGCAAAAGAGCTCAGTACAGGATTGGGTAGTTATTCGGGTATGTGTACTCAGAGTGTAGAATTCAAGGCATCCATTGAATAGGATTCTCTGAATATTTACAAGTATATCTATGAAAAGGGGGATTATGTGCATTTTAAAGGATTTTCAAAATGGCATTTGTATAGGTTTAAAATGTGTTTTCTTATCAGAACAAGAGTTAATTAGACGTACTAACAGTTGCTAAAGGCAAATAGATATTTTACATGAGAACTACTCATTGTGTCTTATGGTAGCATATAGGTATTGTCCCCAATCCTGCCTATGTGTGTGACCGGAGGGTACATATACATATCAAAATATCTTTGTGAGGCTTAGCAGGAGAAGCAGGTGTTTAACATTTATTTTAGGACATACAGAATAAATATGTCTCTATAACTCACCTCCCAGCTCACATGTTATTTTCTCCTGTACCCAGGCTCTTATAAAATAGCACTTCTATTGTGTTCTATACCTTTTCCCCTAAAATAGCTTTTAAAATTTGTTACAGATTCACAACCGAGCTAGATAATGAACTTTTGTTTCCGGAAGATACAAGCGTGTAGACAGAAAAAAAAGAAGAGCGTAAAACGGAGTCCATTTTTGTGTTTCACCGGAACAACAGACAAACAACAACCCCTAACATTCCAAACTGTGCTCTCATCTAATGAAAGTAAGTTCTAATGTGTCAAAAGAAGGTTAAGTGTGAGAAAGTCTTGGCTTTGCATTGTTGTTATCGTGGTCTGTTCTGGCCATTTGGTATGTGGCATAGGGCAAGTTAACAGTAAAAGCTCATTTCCAAATTACATTTGAGTTGTCCCCATTTTTAAGTCTTATTGTAATTTTTCGGAGGTGGAAATGTATCTTGTCAAGTTAATCTTGTTTTGACTTGGACATCAGCGGAATGAGACTACTTTTATTGATAGATTCACTTCGTCCCAGCTCAACTGCTGTCAGTCTACTTCCCAAGACTCACACAACGGTTCAGAGGAGATGGGACTTTCGTCGGGAATCAAACCAGCACTAAAGCAGGTTTCCCAATTCCTTGAAGTATCTTCTTTTAGAATACATTGGTAATTGATTCTTTCTCAGAAAATGATCATCACCATCCGCACAACTACAGTAAAAATACACCTCTGAAACAGAACAATTTGCGTTGATTTTTGCTTTCTTCTTATTATAGTCTGTTTCTCATGTCAGTGGGATCTGATTGGTGCTGTCCCTTTAATCTGTTGACATTATCTCCCAAATAAACAAGCTGCCATCGATCTTTTCATTAGGTGATCAAATAACAAATAGAGCAGGTGAAAAACAAGAGCATTAATATGCTTAAATGTCTTTATCAGGCATCCTTGCAACATTATTGGAAGTAAAAGTTCTATTCCATAAGTATATGGAATGGATGCTACATCAGTGTGTCTATAATATTTGCGTAGATACACATAGGTAAACACAAGCGTGTTATCTTACTGAGGGAAGTGAGTATATCGATACACGCTCATATCTTTGAATCTGTGTGTTGAATAGAAAAAAACAGGTCTCATAAGAAAATACTAAAAACTGGAGGCTATAAATATCTCCATCTATAATTCCTACAATCAGAATCAATATGCCTGAAATATAGAAAAACGGGCCATGTTCTCAAGTTGGGTTGCTTGACGAGTCTCGGGAAAGCAGCCTGGATGCTAGAAGCAAAAGTTATCCTTGCACGGTACTGCTATACTATAACTCATTCACAGTGGGTTTCCAATGAAATGTAGACAGACGCTGCTTCCCATGTTAACCCCATTAGAAACACCGAATAGAAAAAGCAGTACTTGCCTGGTGAAGCCTGGTTTGGCCGGGGTTCTGGGTGCCAGCTGAAGCGATCCAGGTTCCGAGGAAACCTTTTCAAGGAAGAGTAGGGCACAAGCTGCTGGGTCCGTCCACCTTCTCTCTGGCTCTCTTTCACTCTCGCTCTCTCTCTCCCTCTCTCTGTGCCTTGCTCTGCCTCTTTTACTCCCTGTCTCTTCACAGTCTGGGGAGTAAAATCTAGATGATATACATACAGAGCTTGCTTTTTTTGTCTGATTTAATCTTATTCGTTTCACCTTTTCACTGACCAGGAGCAAGGAGCGAGAGTTTATTTGGAAAAAGGGAGAGGGAGGAAAGGAGCCCACTGTTGCATAGTCAATAACATCCTTTTTATCAATGCAATATACAATAGGGGCGGCTTGGCCAGGGGACTCATTGAAAATCTCTTCATTATTTCAGGACAAAACAAATCGTTTATTCTGATTTTAGAAATCTTCCTCTCAAACTGGCTCAAAATCTTACATTTGTGGGCTTGACAGAAAATAAAATCATTATCAAGCCACATCTAAGGCTGTTATTTTTTTTAATGAATGGAACATCTTTTTTAAAAAAAAGCTGTAATATTTCACATTTCCCTTTTCCTTGCAGGTTTTGCTTAGTTTCCAAACTGATTTAAAACTTTGATATGAGCTAAGGAGAGTTCATGCAGTTTCTTTCTTCTTTGTCACACAGACACTCGACCCCATAGCGCATTTAAAACCTAGCACATAAGAGGACGTTGCATGGAAGAAGGGATGGGAGACAGGAGGCTAGAAGAGGTATACAATTAAAAAGAAGGTTTGTTGCCCCAAAGCAGCTTCTTTATTTTGAAAAAAAGTAATGAAAAGATTTTGTGGCGTCCTGCTGCTTTAGAAAAGGCACGGGCTTTGTGCACTGAGGGGGAAGGGGGGCGCTGGGGACTTTGCTGGGCTGCAGCTCCTAGGCTCGGTTCCTGTCCGCTAGATGGCAGCCGGATCCAGCGATTCCACTACCAGACAGTTGGAAGAGAGAGAGAGAGCAACCCCCCACCCCCCTACCCCCGCACATACTCCAACCTTCACTCTCTCTCTCTCTGGGACTTTCGTTTACCAGCATTGATCTTCCCAGACAACAAAACGAGAACTTACTTTTGTTTTATTAATAATTATTGAAGCATTGCCGGCTGTTTAAACAGCCTTGGAAAGGGACACTATTGGAAAGTGTAATCATCATCATAATTAATAGTAGCCCTTCCAGGGGAAAGTGTTGATTTCTGCTCTCATTTTACGACACCGAGAATTCCACCAGTGTCATTGATCGTAATTAAAAATATCAAAGGAGGAAGAATATTTTAGGTAATAAATGGGAGCCAGCACTGTGGTATAGCAAAAAAGCAAAGCTGAAGTTTTTATATATATAATAAGCAATGTAAGTGGGTATATGTATATATTATTACACTATATATGTGTGTGTGTTCCACAAAGCAATTTTTTTTACTTTCAGTAATTAAAATTTCTAATAAGGTTTTTCAATTGGAAACATACAGAAATCTAATTAACCTAACCCCCCCCCCAAAAAAAAAAAAAACTTTTCAGCGTGAGCCAAAATAATTTCCTTTTCATTCCCCTTTCCCCCATTGCAATGCATCTCCCCCTTCCCTTCCGCCCCCCCCCCCCCGTCCTTTTGATGTGTGTGCGTGTGTGAGTGTATATGACCATAGACGACCCATACTAATCAGGTCTCAAAGTAAATAGCAGCGCAGGGCGATCTCAATGTAAATTGTGCTTGTCAGAAGAATCCCCTTCTCTCCCCCACCCTTCATGCCCCAACCCAGTCAGTAGGTAGCAGAGAATAAAAAAAAGAGGGGGGGCCTCTTAACCAATGGAGTGAAGGAGGCTTGGCTAACCTTAGCCTCCCATTTTCTCTCCCCCCAATTCAGGGCTCTGACCAGTCAGTCGCCTTTGATTATCAGTTGCCAGCAGCCCCTCTCTTGGCTCCTTGACATGAGCTCCATATAAGGCAGCGATCTCCATAGAAACGTGTCAGTTTCAATAGTAGTGTCAAAGTTCACTATATACAGACATTCGCGCAGATCCCCCTTTCGGAAACATTGCTCTGCTAGTCTTCCCGTTTAAACGCATTCATTTTTGGGTCTCTCTCTCTCTCTCTCTCTCTCCTCTCTCTCTCTCTCTTCTCTCTCTCTCTCTCTCTCTCTCTCTCTCTCTCTCTCTCTCTCTCTCTCTCTCTCTCTCTCTCTCTCTCTCTCTCTCTCTCTC